GAGAGAGACAGAGACACACAGAGAGAGAGAGAGAGCTTGTGTGAATTAGGCTACCTCTGTGCGTCCCTCAACAGTGTTCTGCAGCAGCGTCTCTAAACAGCGCTGTTATTACCTCGCTAGTGAGAAATGTCATGTGTAGCCTTTAAGTTGCTACACTATATAGGCTAACTGATAAAATCGTCAGGGCAGCGCTGACAACACCTTTTCGTGCAAAATGCATGATCGTAGTGTGCGTGTGCGAGCACGTGTGATTGCAGTAATTCCTGTGTGCTGTATAGGTACTGTATGCTAATTTCCGTTATTACAGTTAACTATGCGAAGTGATATGGAACTGTAATGCGGTCAAGAGAGCTGCCTGGAACTACGTTCACCGTGCGTTTCCCTGAAAATAATTGCACACCTCAGAACGTTCGTCAGCCAATCAGATTCAAGCATTCAACGGCCCCGTAGTATAACTGTAAACGTACTATTCCAGCAGCACATTCACCGCAGTCTGATTTAGACACATCAGACACGATTCATCCTCTTACCTGCTGATGAAGAGGACGGCAAATAAAGAGCTGAAGAAGGTCATGGTGAGACGATGAGAGCTTCAGTGCGCTGGAGTCTATCTGGAAGAGAACAGAAGCAGGTCATTGAAACGAGTCAAGATACGCTTCGGCAGCAGAACGACTGTAAAAGAGTCTTTTGAACTACTGAAGCTTTGGCTCTTTGACAGTCAGTGTGCTTATAGCTGCTGGATGCTTAGAGGGCTCACATACATTTTATTCATACATCACTTTATTTATTTTTTTCATATTATAAGGTCCACTTATACTGTCAAGATTTATCGTGGCTGAAATCTAATTTTTATGACCAATTTCCACCCTCTCTGAGTATTGGAATTAAATAGGGATGGTCATTTTAGTCGTTTTGTCAGACAACCGCATATAACACTTACTTTCAACATTTACTCTCCTAATCCAGCCATATGCAAAGCATGCTGGGAACTAACAATACTCTGCTCAGCTTCAGTTAATGCAAAAAAAAATTATTCAGGTCATCCCAACACGAATGGGTTAAATAAACTTCTATTTTACATATTTAAGTAGATTCAACACAATAAAATTCGGTAGTGACAGGCTGATCAGCAATTGTTACTTTTGCTTATTTTAATTAAATACATTGTGGAAGCAAAAATGATTATTTCAGTGACTTCATTATGGCAAAAAAAAAAAAGAGATTAATACTAAGACCGTGATTATTTAACACAATTACACACTCTAAAAATGTGGATTTCTTTAAACATTAAATATAATTCAACTAGAAAACAAACAGAAATGTAAATAAATAAATAAATACATACAAACTTCTTAACAGTAGATTTTCTTGAAAGGTAAATATAATTCAATTGAAAAACAAATGTAAAATTAAATAATTAATGTTAAATAAATAAATAAACAAATTATTATGTTAAATAAATGAACAAACAAATAAATAAATAAAAAATTCTCAGTGGATTTCCAGAATTCTACTGAAAAAATGTAAAAATGTAAAATAATAATAATAAATGAAAATTCAACTGATAAACAAATAAAAACAATTAAAAAATGTACTTGAACACTACATATAATTGCTTACATTTAAATAAATATTGTAAAAAAATGAATTAAATGTAATTAAATTAGATATAAATAAGATCAACTATGATGTGGAAGAACTTAACACTTAGGGAAGGATGAACGTGCACCGCTGTAAAGGACAAAATGTGCTGGATTCATAACACAAAACAAAACTACAGCATCACTGTGAAACAGAATTCGGCACAATGTATTTATCTCAGTTACTGTCTCTTGTATTCATAATCACTGGAAGCCAAATTCGCAATTGAAACAATGACAGTAACAGTGTATGAGATGCAATAATTCATCAGATCATCAACTTCAATGCAAGTTCAGCAGAACACAAATCTCAATTAGGAGTGTCAATGGTCCATTTGAGAGATAGGTGATGCATGTAATGCACTTATAAGTCTGCGATCCGCCGTAAAGTAAGAAGAAGAAGAAGAAGGCGCCTCACGCGCCGGCTGAAGATTCAAGAAGAAGACGCGAACGCGCTCAGGACAGTTCAGACATTGCGGTGAATCAGAGGTAAAAGACAATATAAATACTGTTCAGTTTCTAACACAGACCGATCGTTTAGTGTCTTTACACATCAATGTATCGTCACGAGCCGCAGGGTTTAATTTGGTTTTGTTTGTGTATGTTTT